ATAAATAAAACCACGAGGAGTTTAGGAACAAGGGCTCTGCAGAGCTGGTGTTGCGAGACAGTACATTCCTCAATGCAACGGGAGGACCTTGCCCGGCTGCGGTTTCTTTCACTGGGAAAGGAGATTCCAACGTCATCCATGCATTCTTCTCGGGTCTGGGTGTTGTTTCATCAGTGTCTTTGCTCCAGGACTGGCATGAGCAGAAGCAGAAGAAATGGGTTTCGAAGGGACTAAGGAGGGTGTGTTCTGTTTTCTTCTGTGGGCTTTGTTATCAACAGGAAGGGCTGTGAGGCCAAGATAGCAGAGTCTACTCCCTGTAGAGAAAAGAACAGGAGTTGAGACAAAACAGCAGCCAAGATTGTCAGCCAGTTGTCAGCCAATATTGCGAGAAAGAAGAGAAGCACGTAAAGACGGTACGGCTCAGTAAGATGTAATTCAGGAGGGAGAGCGTGGAGATCTAGCTTCTCTCCTTGGAAAAATGACAACTGGAGTAGCAACAAGAAAACCTGGCTATTAATAGCTTAATTATAACAACTCGAGGAAGGTACCGTCTTACCCCCATCGAATAGACAAGGCTGTCAAACATAGGAAAGCTGAGCTACCTGCTCAGGGTCCTACATGGTGAAGGAGTAAAGCTGGGATTGGAACCCACACAGTCTGAGTCTATAGCCATGTCTTAGCCACTGTGTGAACAGCCACTCTGTGGAAATGAAAATTCTGACTTGGAAGAATTGTGCAAGAGAAAGGCTTAGTTGGTAAAGGGATGTGAAAGACGAATTGTACTACCGGAAAAGCCTGAGCTACTAGCACGCAGCCTTTCCAGAAAGGGAAATTGGGTATCTTGGGAACAAATCTGGAAATACCACAATCTACCAATATTCAACATTATGATTGAAAAAATGCAAACCAAGAGATAAAAAGCACTGAGGGCTTTTCTTAAGAAGTAACTGCTAATGAAGGAGAGCATCTAGCAAGGATTTACACACGCTGCATGGTAACAGGCACAGAAAGGGAGCGTCAGGGAGATGTCTGGTGTGGCAGCAGGAAAGGTTTAGGGGGCTTGAGGCCACCAAGAACCAACCAGTCTCAAATGTCCCATCAGTCTAAAACAGAACAAGATCAGCATGACACAACAGAGTCTGTGTGGCTCCTCTCCTCTCGCTAATCACAAAATGAACAATAATAAGGAATTTTCTCTTCTTTCCTTTGTGACAACTAACCACCAAGATTGCTTCAGACACCGTATCTCCCACCACAATGGCCGTGTTTAGCAGTGGATGACTTCAGGTGGAGAGCAAAGGATTAAGACCAGAATCTATCTCCACAGACAATTTTGCTTGTTTTATTAAACCAATTCTTTATTTGCTTGTTTCGTACATATGTGAGTTTACGTATGTGAGCTACACATCCAATTTAGTTCCTTTGAGGTAAATAACCATTATTTAGTCCTGTAGGAAATATTTTAGAGAAATAAAATTTTCTTATAAAATATTCAGACAGAGATGACTTCTTAAGCAATTTAAAATTCTAAATGTAGGTAAGGTTATAACTACCAAGCCCTTCTGGAAGCCACTTGTCAACATCATTCATTTTGCCAGTTATGAGGAAAATGAAAGAAAAGGACCCAGATCTACTTTTCCAGCTGTGTCTTCTCTGGGGATAATCAAATGCTCAGGGTCTGCACTAGGCAGGCATATATTTACATGCAGGACAAGGAGACATGAGTAGGACCTTTATAACTGATGGAGTACAACCAACACCGTATGGATATGCCCACTTTTTGAAGGTGATTTTATTTTGTTACTAGAAATTCCATTCTTAGAGGAGAAAAAGGAGTCCCCAAAACACGCCTGTCCCCTGTGAGTTCACCAACACTCTTCTTCAGTAGTTCCCAATGGGACATGGTCTATTTGGGGACTCGGTTGTTGAAAGGGTTGGATGTTTGAAGTGAGAAGTGTGGGAATATGAAGGATTGCATCTAGTTAATTCCAGAATACTTTGCAGTGGAGAATAAGAAACCTTTGCTCCTTTGAATTCTGACAACTCCTTATTTATGGAAACTGTTTGAACAAAGACCAAAGCATGTAGTCTATGTGGTATCATGAGGAAAGATGCAACTTTTGCTGTGATTAAATAAACACCACATGGTTCCTTTGAATCTGTTAGGAAGACATCTAAGTGTCTTTACCGTCAGTTCTTCTCATTACAATGGGGTCTCGCTTGTCCATTTCTCCCTTTTCCATTATAAAATAACAATGTCATGAATTTCAAGGCTAAATGATGAAGGAATACTAGGTAGGTCTGCCATCTCTTGTAGAGATACATGTTTAAATCAAAGCCTCATAAATCCACACAAGGCAAAGCAGCTTCATCTGCATGGCTCCCACTACTGAACTCCATTTCACCCCACTTTGGCATGTCACAATAGCACATTTGGGTTCTCGAGTGAAAGATGGATGAGTAACACTTGGAAAACACTGGAGGAAGAGTATTACCTTCCATCTGTGAAGTTTAGTCCATTCTACCTAAGAGCATTTCATATACACTTATAACAATGCCATGTGTTAGGAAAGGTGTTATTATTAAAGTATCATTATCTCTAATTTGCAGGTGGAGGGACTGAGTTATAAAGAAACATGGAGTGAATTTCCCAGTGTCAACATCTCAGTTGGCTTTAGAATCCATAGCTGTCTAGATGCCAGAGCCTGGCTCCATGCCCTGGGAAACAATGGAACATTCCTATTGTCCTCCCCTTTCTCTTTGAAAATGTGTAACTTCACGGAAGCAGTAGTTTCACTTCAACTGTTACTGGATATTATTTTAGGCACTGAGAAAGCCCTTTTTGGCCTTTCCATTGGCCTGGATTCTAACTCATACAATGTATTCAAACTAATATCCAGGAGGCAACCTTTGAATGTAATAAGATTTCAAGCCTCGCCCGATTATTCTGCACGTACCCAAAATGTGTGCTGAGAAATAACACCAGGACCTCGGCACAGTGTCCAGCATTAACTTGTTAGGGTATCTTACAACTGACACACTCTCTCTTTTGAAATGTTCTGCTTTGAGTATGTTCAGTGTGTAGAAAAATACCTCATCCTATGTTGTTGCCTTGAAGAAAGCAAGGCTTCTAATTATTCAATGTATGCAAGGAAACATTCTTTTGACTTCCAAGATAATGCCTATTCGAACTGGTCCGTGGAGACTGAAAACAAAATACATCACAGTTTTCCTGAAGGAAAAAAATACATAGATAGTTTTTTTGTTTTTTGTTTTTACAGCAAACAAAAAACCCACCAATATATCTGTCACCTTTGAACATGAATATCCAGAACTCTTAGGGTTCAGCAAAAGTGGTGATAAAACAAAAATGGTTGGAGTAGTTTAAAAAAAAAAACAACGAATTTCACATTCCTTCTGAACAGAAAAGCTTTTACAACCAATGCTGCAAAAAGGTTTTTACTAAACTGTCATGATTTGACAGCATCAAATTGAACATGCCTTGCTCTATAAGAAATAGCTTTCAGCATAACCAAGGGGGGTGGGGGGGAAGGTCATTAAAATCAGCCAAGCTCGTGTTTAAAAGTGGTGAAAATGGAAGAGTTTAAGAAGTTAAAATTTGTCCAGTTGAAAAAGTTAGGCGTTTGTTTCTAGGAATAAACAAAGCCATTTAATTCACGTTTCAAGAAGAAATTCTGGAATTAACTAGAAGCATCTAAGGCTAATGGTCTTGATGGACCAGCAGCATGTGTTCCAGGAGGTCACATTCTGATAATGAGGACGTCAAGGTAACTTCTAGGTAAATCTTCCCTGGCTGACCCTGTTTGGTGCAGGGGTTACCGAAGCAGGACAGAGAGTGAGAATAATGGACAGATCTTCCAGTACTTCTCAAGCAGCCAAGTCTCCAAAGAGTGAGGCATGATCCAAGGTTACAGGTGATTACCTGGTACCCAAAAGATACCCAGTAAGTATTTGTGGCATGAATGGATGGCGCCAAAGGGCAAGAGAAACCTTGTGTGAGAGAAAGCAAAGCAAGCAAGGCTCTAGGTGCCATGTTTCCAAACCTGACATCATACAGTTCCTAACTCACGTCTTCCCAGAACAGCAGGGAAGCCATATCGGTTTCCACACTGGTCTCTTCTCCCATTGTCAATAGAGGACTGAAATCTGGAAAGAACCCCAAACTAAATGATAGACATGAAAGAATATTTATTGCCCAGCATTTCAAATTAGATCAAGTTAAGAAAAAAGTTTTCATTGGAGAAAGAGTGCTGAGGTTTTGTTTTGCCTTACCTTGTAGGTTTGGGTTTGCTTCTTTAAAGGAGGGAAGTGTGAAAGTTCCCTATTCAAGATTGTCATGGTCCGCTATCCATAAGGTAGTTACAATAAGTTTGTAGAGTCCCAAAATACGACTTTATATGGCATAGCCTCAGGCCCAAAGAAACAGACCTTGTCGGTCCAGTGATGGGGAGGTGCTTGGGTTTTATTATTATTTATTATTATTATTATTATTTGAAATCCATTTTCTTTTTCTTTCCAGCCCCTTATGTCATCGTAAGCCAACAGGGGGCCCAAGCACTGAAGGAGCAACACTCACGAGCCACACGGTTTTCACCTAGGTTGTTTCCTATGGTATGAACCAAGCCTTAAAAGCTACAACCGAGTCCTTCCAGAATGTTCCTGGGCATGGTATCCATTCCAGTGAAAGCAGGATGACGGTCATTTATGCCACAAACAAAATACCGCATTGTAATTCCCATTGGAGAGAGGATCAAGGACGTCTCGGAGAAGCTGAGTGTCTGGCAGCCACTGCGGCATCCAACTCGGAGGTGGTGTTTCTATTTATATACGTACATGTATTTGACAAACTGGTGATGGACGGAGTACTTCTGAGAAACAATTTGTTCCAGGTCTAATTTCAAACGACGGCTGTCATTTCCGTGAAGCCCCCCCAGTTTCGGCGATCTATACACCAAGCAACACTGCGGGGAGTGATTTTCTTTTTTCCCCTTAATTTCCGAGGGCGAAGACGAAGTAAAAAAAGTGCAGTTCTTCAATTAAAGTGCATGGATGAGGTAAACTAATCTCAAGAATTTCGAGTTTATTCAGTACTGGCTCAGACAGGAACCATTCTGCCATGGGTCTGCTGCATTTGGGCTCTCATCGCCTGGACACTGCTCAAAATCTTATTCTGCTGTGTGACGGCTGTGATGCCAATTCTTGCCAGGTCCCTGGAGGTGGGGGAGAAAAAAAAAAGAGGGCCAGAAAAGTTACACGAGTGGAGAATCTCGTTTCCCGGCTTCACGCAGACACACATTTGAAATCAGCCACAATTCATACAGCACAACAAGGCAGGTGTATTCAAATGTTTCATTAAGCGACTGAACGCAACAATGTAGGTGCTTCTAGAGGCTCTGTAAAATTATACTCAATCAAAATGAAAGGCATTCCAGTTTTCTTTTTTTCTTTTTAATGAGGAGGATGATAATGCAGCTCAAAGCAAAAAAAGAAAAATACTATTAAATCTAGATTTACCCTTTGGTGTTACATCGCTGAGTACTTACTCCTGGTTCATGTGCACTACAGCCTCTAGTGTGGTATAACCAGCAGCCGTGAAGTTATCCTTATACCGGTCCATTTTAATGGCTTGGAGCCAATCGCCCACTGACACCACGGCAGAGAATTCAGGGGAGCTTGGATCCAACAAGGCAGTGTTAGGTCTGGTAAGAGAATGAGGGAGCGGAGACAGACAAGGATGATCAGTGAGATGGCAAGACTCAGAAGTCAGACTACCTAAGATAGGTGCTAAACGCCACGGACAGGCTTTTTAGAGGGTCTACCTCTCATTCAATGGCATCAGGAGGTTTTTCGTTTTTGTTTTTGGGTTTTTTTTTTTGGCCCTAATTTCACAAAGTTGCTAAAAATGTGTATCCATCACCTTATCTGTTCTTAATTGCACTTCCTGCATTTGTTTTATGTGGACTTCTTCGTACATTAATGATTATACAGGTCTTTCAATATTCTTGCCTGGGATAAAGACTGTGGGAGACCTTGTGGCTGAATCTGGTTCAGTCTTTGCCGGGAGAGTGCAGTCCCTGCCGGCACAGAGTATTACATACTTCAGGACAGCAGCTATGGAAACCCTAGTGAAGTATGAGTAAGGGAAATTGTGAGCTCGCAACTTGCCAGACTCGATGAAGCGGACAAAACAGCAAGAGTTCAAGTCCAGCATGCTCCCAGCCAGGTTTGCAGGCAGACTCAGTGCATTCAAACAAACTTGGGACAGCAGGGAGTTAATGCCCTCTTTAATCAGCCCATGCCTGATCAGCACGTGTGCCAAGACAGGAAGGAAGAATGGCCACTTTGATCACTGCTTGGATTGTGGAAATGTGCATCTCGTATTCCCTCTTAGATAGTCATTTCAATGAATTCTAAGCACTTTTTATTAAGTTATTTATTAGTTTATGCATTTCTCAGGCCAGGTGTTTTATGTTAGGCCATTGTCAAGAGTGACAACAGCTGAAGGCAGGAATTTTGCCACTGCTCATGATATTGATACATGACAAAACATCTATTTATGGAAGCATTTATTAAAGAGAATTATAGTCATCTTCAACATCAAACTACTTTATAATCACTGGATAGACCTTCACAAGGTATTTTATACTGACAGTGACACAGGTACTTGTTTAAATTTTCTTCAACTCCCATTTCCCTAGAAATTACAGCATGTGGTTGATCTTAACATTTTGACCTAATTTTCATCCTGAGACTGTGTTGCTTGAACATGAACACTAAATCAGAATATCATCGTTACTGAATTTTAACCAAAAAAAAAATTATTTTCCTATGGAAAGAAAATTAAGTCAATATAACGCCTTGATTAATTTTCTATATAGCAGAATTAATCCAATTCCTTTGTTTTATAATTTTTACCTGTTACTTTAATTTGCATTACTTCTTTCTTATATAACTGTTTTACCAAAGACATGTTTTATCAGTTTTGTGTCTTTGTGAGCTTTTATGTACATTATTCCAATTAATTTTCTGAGTAAAATTCTGTAAATTTTTATGGCACGAATAATCAGGATTTAATTCTTCCCCCAATAACAAACAACAGCACAGAGGATTTTAACATTATTGTTAATGCTTACAAGTAGTACTTACCTTTAGACAAAGACCAATAGTTTGCATTTCTAACTTTACTCCAAGAGCATTAATAGAGCCACATGTAGGCTGTAGGTACCTGACAAGGTCAAAATGACCTAAGGATGAAAAATATCCTCACTCAATATCAATTAACTCTAAGCATCACTCTCAAGCTTGTTCTGGAAGTCTCTGTGCTCTTTGTGGAACACCATGACATTTGCCCAATTTTGTGCTGAATCACATACAATGTTATACTACATCTCATTATTAGCAAGCAGTAATAAGCATCTAAGGTACTGAAGTATACCGTCAGTGAGAAGAATTTAGAATTGAGAAGAGTATGTCCAATGACTCAATTTGTTCTCAATTTGTTCTGCATAAATGGTACAAAGCACACATTATGCAATATTGGTAACTGAAGAGTTTCTGCCAACAGGAGAAACAAACACCAAGTACCAATGAACCCGCCTTAAGACACTCAGACAATATCCATGGGATCTGGAGCCAGAGATCCAAAAGCTGAAGGAAGTTCACCTTGGAATAGATGAGGCCACCTACACCTCTTGGAGAGCTGAAGAACAAGAAATAGCCCAGAAATGCCAGGAGATTTTTTTTTTTTTTAAGTCACTTGACTATCAAGTGGCAGAAATAAGATGTGAATTCAGCCCCATGTTACTTCAGAAGAGGTTGATCATGAAGCTGTTGGGATTGTGGCCAGTGCTAAGGGATCTGAAAGCCTAAAATAATAGAGGGTCCTCTTCTGTCTGTTCCAGATTCTTTTCTTCATGCATTGTAATAATCAGTATATACCACAACCATTAGGCTAAGTCTCCAGAAGACTGGAGGAGACGCTCATAGCACTGACCAAGACTGGAAGATCTTGGATATCATGGGGAAAACGTTCTCCTATTTTTAACTCAGGGTCATGAAGAACCTTAGGGAAGTACAGATTTGGAGGTGAGTCAATGCCTTACTTCTTGCAGGCCTGAAGCAGGGGGCCAGTTGTCTTATGCTAATCTTATTTAGTAGCAATGGTGGTCTATACCCTTCCAGATGGGACAGGTAGCCAGGGATCCTGAAGCTTTCACTAGTGAGGCCCAGTCCCCAGGTAGAAAAGTTCCCATTGAATTATGGACTTGCAGTATCCTTACCTCCTCTCTGGACTGGTAATGCTTCTTCCTTTTTGCGCTCTCCAATGAAATAACAACCTCCTTCACAGGGGGTTCAAGTCTATTCATTTTTTAAAACCCCTCTCAAACATTCATCCGCATGCTTTGTAACCTGATCAGTTTTTATTTTGGTCCTATTTCCTTCTACTCATGAAAGACTCAAGAAAGAATCTTTCAGAACTGAAACCAAATGAATTTCTTGCTTTAAAGCCTTTAAGCACCTATAACACTTTACAAGTCAACTTCTTAAAACTACAGTGCAGGAAAAGCTGTCCTTGGCTCATTTTTTACTAACCCAGTGTTCCTTTCCCTTTGCCAAATATAGCATTTCGTGTCTTCTCTAAGTCCATATCATGTGTCTCCCTAAATGTTCAGGTCTAGCATCATCAAAGAAGCACCTTTATTATTTTTTGCTCCTGGTTCGTTTTTATTGATATTATTATTTTCTTAATTTGTTTTTCTTACGACTATTTGAGGCCTGACAGGTGTTAGGCTCTTCAACATGGTAAACAAAATCATCATATATACTCCATTAACTGAGAAAGAAGCCACCCCAGTTGCAGAGAGCTGTGCAGTGGCCTCTGACAAACAGGCAGGAATTCCAGGGAGCCAGCACTCGCCTGCCACCTCTAATGTATCCTTTCATGCATCACTATTAAGCAAGCATGGCCGACCTGGAGCTCTCAGTCCCCGTCCTCTTCAAGCTGTTGGGGTTGCGGATGAGTTTGTCCAACATGTTGACAATCTGCCCGAATTTCGGCCTGTCACTCCGCTCCTTCTGCCAGCAGTCTAGCATCAGCTGATGGAGTGCAATGGGGCAGTCCATGGGAGGGGGTAGCCGGTAGCCTTCTTCAATGGCTTTAATTACCTACCAAAGACAACAGAATGACATATAAGCTGCCAGAGATCCACCCTCCTGACCGGCAAGTTCCCAGCTCATCCAGCTGCCAGCAAGTTTGAGCATAAGAAGAGCACCAATGTCTTCACAGAAGCCACAGCTGGAACTGAGTATTGCTGGCAACAGGGCAGGGAAGCCAGCTGTTGCTACACGCGGTGCTCTCAGATGGCAGTCAACTGTCAATCTGAAATTCTAAAGGGAAGATGCATCAATGTTGCCAAGTGGTTAGAACATAATCAGATCAACAACCTGGTGGTGGCCTGGCCCTGGAAATCACGTGGCAATGACCCTCCCCCTTCTGCTATCCAATAGCAGCTAAACCCTCTCAGCAGAAGGGACTCTAACCTAGTGTTAAAGACCTTCCTTAAGAAGCATTAATGGCTGCATCCAAGATGGAAGCCCCTTTTATCATTGTAAGCCTCTGTCCACTTGCTCAGACAGCTCATGGGACAAATACAGAAGCCCACCTTCCAGACCTCCCAATCCAGAAGACACTACCTCTCTCTAAAATAGCACGCTCCTCAAACGCTCTAGATGCCCAACTATTTTTACTTTTGGAAGACCACAATATGCCAATACGCCAGTTTGGTATCTTATTCTTGATCTCAGCTGGCTGTCAGATGACACTGATAAAAGTTGTTAATAAAAGAGATCTAAAAAAAGTGTTAGCAAAGAAAATTAAAACAAACAAATTTCTTTTAGGACATTCCCATTTTGAAGAGAAGTTATAATGGTAGATGGCAATTGTCTTATTGCTCAGTTCTCCCTGCTTAATAAAACATAAGCAAACCATTCAATAGTCTTTCTTCTCATTCTACTTTTTCTAATCTGTCTTTACAGGTATTATGGTATTTTTCTTATTGGCATCTTGCTAAGCCCCTCTTCTTTAGGGTGTGAATCCCAGTAATATAAAATCGTATGACTCATGCCAAATTTAAGGAGGGGAATTATTTTGTAACTTCTTGGCTACTTATCAGCAGTATTTATGGGCATCCTATGAAATTCTGGACGTTCTTTTGTTTGTTTGGAGATTTTTAAAGTTTTATTTGTTTTAAATCAGATTTTTCTAACCACTTTGGTAGGAAAAAAAAATCAGTTTTTTTTCTGATTTTTTGAAATGTAACTGTCAGTGAAACCATGAGAGCTGTAGCCATTTCAATGACCACTTTGGCGTTCACCCTCCCGTAGGGTTTATTTACTGTCCAAAAATTGGTCTTCAACAGAAAACAGTTAATTCAGTTGGGTCCAGTTTCTATGTATCAGTACGACTATTGTCTTTTTAGCAGCACACAGTTCAACAATCATCTTGTGATTTATTAAGCCCTCTGATCCCTTTTTTCTCCCATGTATCTTTGCCAACATCCTGTTGTATTAGTACTATTTACCACTCCTTCTAGTGTAGACTTCTATATGCTATCTTACTAAACATTATTCTATTTATTTCTAGCAATTACATTAAGTCAGTTTGATCTTCGGACTTTCTTTTATCTTTCCAGGTGCATGGTGTTGACTCTGGACTTGATGAAAACATTTCACATTGAATTGATGAGAATGAGAGCAATATTGGGCTAATGCCAGGGTAACACAATTTGTTATAAACCCTCAGACTGCTTAATACTCTTTCATTAGCTCCCTCTCCACTGCCAGCTTGGAAGATGGCTTGTGGGTTAACAAAGCATATTTTCTCAGTTTGCTGCTCAATGTTTTGGAGGAGGGGGACGCTGACGAGCAAAACAAACAAAAAAACTTGGTAAGTTTGCCATATTTTCAATAGCTATTTTGATTCTATTCACCATATGCCAAATGAATTCTGATGAAAGTAATTCCCCAGTTACATTTCCTATTGATCCCTGTTCTACACAGAACCCAACAGAGACAAATACACGTGAATGACTAATCAATATTATTTGTGGGAGAGACATGGTTTCAGATGTTCTTCATGAATAAAGCCAGACAACTGAAAGTTTAAGACAATAAAAACTGTTTTCATATAATATAGAAACTGTCAAAACTACAGGCCTGAAAATATTTAGTGCAGGAAAATGGACAGCATCTTTTAGATCCCCTGCTCCTATGAGCATTTGGTCATGACTCTCAACTGAAATGAAGCTTAAGTATCAAATCATTAAATGAGCAAACATATGCACTACTTGCTCCTGTAGGTAGTTTCTGTCCCTCTGAAAGTCTCTAATCTGAAACCAAATGTTGCTATAAGTAGGACCGGGAAGGTGCCTGTGACACAATCACACTAAACAACAGATTACACACCACTCACCTCTATAGTTTTGTCCCCCACCTTCCCCCAGCCTGCAATTACCTATCAGTTATGCTAGCTACTGGCTTTCTTCCTGTCTGCTATGAACCTTTCTTTGTAACTTACAGATAACACAATGTCAACACTATCATTCCTCTTAATCTGGTTAGAGAATTCTTTTTTGCCCCACTAGACACAGAGTACATTAGCTTCTCCATTGCTCTGAACAGTCTTTTATCGATAAGGTAACCAGCATCTTACTTCCTGAGTGCACCTGGTTCTTCATTTAATTGTCAAGCCTTTGCAACTTCCTGTTTGGTTCAGGCTAAGGCAGATGGGCAGAGGGCATTCCATATGAGAAGGATTTTGTAAAAGATGATTTTTCTCCCAAACTATAATTTTTATCATTGCTGAACTGAATACCATGCCTTTGTAAACATCCTCTGCTAATATTTCACTTCACATATATAAGTAACTAACAAGTGTTCTAGGAAGACCCCCTGGTTTAAGATTTTTGTTTTTGTGTATTTTTCCCCCTTTCACACTGGAGATGTTTGTAATTAAACTCTATTACTCTGGAATCTTATTAGTGTCATTATTGAATGGTTTTCTGAAATTGCAGGCATTGTGGATACTCCCTTACGAAGTCGTCCAGATGGTACATTTAAAGGGATGTGCATAATTTACAAAGGGTCATTTAGTGAAGCTTTATTTTAGAGTCCTCAAGGGGCAAGCTCTAATTACAACTATGCCAGCTTTAAAATATTCACTACTTTTCTTCCAATAAACCTTTGGTGTCAATTTTTTCACATGTGAAATTTGTGTTTTTCGTATATCCTTGTATTTTCTTAAGATTCAAAGTTGAATTTTGTTTCAGTATGGATTTGAGCATTAATCAAGTAAGATACTGTTCCTTCTCACTCATCCGTCCACCTATGTAACTATCTACTGAATCTGTCTTCCATACTCTCCCATTTAAGCTACATAATTTTGGGCCTTGAAATCCATGACCATAAGGTTTAACTAGATTACTACATCCATTTGTGTTGAGAATCTTGCATGCCGTGTTATCATTTCAAGCTCAGCCTTCACTCCATCATAGGCTGACGCGATCCTTCCAGAATCTCAATGTGAAGACATATTTTAGAACATAAAGACTCACGTCTTGATTGGACATATCCCAATAGGGTCTCTCTCCATACGACATCACTTCCCACATAACGATTCCATAGCTCCATACATCACTCGCTGATGTGAATTTACGATAGGCAATTGCTTCTGGCGCGGTCCACCGGATAGGAATCTTGCCACCCTGTGAACATTCAAGCCATAAGTTATTCCCTAAGTACATCACTGATGTGCCATTTCAGTCACTGAATGTTGTTACTGTTTGGAAGCAGGTCAACAGCATTCCTGAGATAGTTCTCCAAACAACAATGAGAGACTTGTTTATTTTAACTCATCATCGAGGTTGAGACGCTTCTCCTCATAGGTTTTCTCTAGTCACAGGGAAGTGAATAAGTAATCTGTTTAATTATTTTTAAAAAGTCTACCTATTACCTGAGCTCTGCTTTCAGGCAATATTGTAGAAGAAAAGGAATTTCAGGTTTTACAGAATGCTTATGTCATCATGGTATATCAATGGATGTGCCACGGAGACTCTTGTTGACTTCTTGTTGGATTCTCTCACTCAGCAGCACAGAGGCAGTATTTAGTATCACTTCTGAAATCATGAACTGTGGAAGTTAAATATGACTACACTGTGATCCTACTTTTATATAGCATGAGAAACATGTTTAACATGTTTAGAAGATAATACGTTACATAGTCTCTCAGCAAAAGCCAAACACCAGGATGTCAGAGCTGTTACTGTCTTCAGGGGGTGAGGACACCCGCAAAAATGGTAAAGCAATTGAGTATTACTCAGGAAAAGTTTAAAATGCTGTTTTCTTATTTTGTTTTGCCTCAAATGTCTACTGTTTGATTATACTTAGGTGAAAGGTATTTTTAATTGAGTTTCAAATTGCTTAAGTTTCCACCTAAGGAAATTAATGCAACTTGAATTCAGACCCTTAAGCTGTTCAAGAGAACATCATTTCAAAGTCTGCTTTACTAAGGCTACTAAACAAGGCAATAACTTGTACTAGAAATTATACTGATTCTTACTGGCACTTACTCTGAAAACTCTTCTCGCACTTACTCTGAAAACCTAGTGTGCTACATTTCTACTTGTTCTATGCAGAGGATGCTTGTGCTTCCTTCTACCTTCCTTAACTATTTGGCTAAGGTTTTATCTATGTAAATGCTCATTCTAGAAGCCTTCTTTCACTTTCCTCTCTCCAAATACTGGAAAAAGAATTAAAGATTTTTAGCATTCACAAAGATGCATTCTTTCCTAACTGAATGGACTTAGAATTCAAAAGTGGATAGATGTGTAGTGTAGACTCAAAACTAGAGCCAAAGAAAATGAAAACTACAAGGAAAAAAAAAATAACCAACCAACTAACCACTCAAACAAACAAACACACACAAAAACACAATGCTTAGGATTGCTAATGCAAAATGAGCACCGAAGGAAGAAAATGGCTGGTAACTGTCTGCTTCTCATTGATTTCAGCAGTGCCAGCCCTAATGGCCAATAACTTTTATGATTCTGTTTATTTCCTTACTATCTTATATTCAGCTTGTCCAGTTAAGATAGCATAGCCATTAAATGTATACGGATAACTCTTAACTGTGTCCCCTAATCCAGCTTATCTACCAGTAGCAAAATGAAGACCAATAGACACTAAAAATTCTCTCATAGTGTAAATGTTTTATAAATCTTGTATCTACATTCCCAGATTCAGTAGCCAACCAACTAGAAACATTGCTCTGTCTCGTTTAAAATAAGAAAATGTTTTAATAATAGATAAGAACCAAAGAGAAAATATAAAACAGGAAGGAAGGAAGGAAGGTAGGGAAGAGGGGAGGAAAGGAGGGAGGAAGGGAAGAAAAATTAAGTGTAAAAACTGCAGTAAGTAAAGCTCTAGTTTGCAGTAAAGTAGTCACACATCATGAGGCGGTTTCAAAATCCCTCAGAAACATGGCTTAAAAAAGAACGTGTGGGCATGAAGAGGCTCTGAATGATGAGGAAACTTACAAAATCACAAAGGGCTTAAACATCAAAATGAGAAAAGAGTAACAGTTTCATCAGAGTCAAAACCCAGAGGTCATAAATCCTCCTTACCCTGGTGGTGTAAGCGGCTTCCGGATCATCCTCAAGCACTCGTGACATGCCAAAATCGGACACTTTGCAGACCAAGTTGCTATTTACCAGAATATTCCGTGCAGCTAGATCTCTGTGCACATAGCTCATATCAGATAAGTACTTCATCCCAGACCCGATGCCACGAAGCATGCCCACCAGCTGAATGACAGTAAATCTGCCATCGTTCTTCTGTGTAGAAAAGGAATGAGAAACCATCTCATCAGCATGAGGTCTAATTAATTTTCACCAGGCATTTATTACTTGAATCTTTTTTGATATCTGTATCAAGTATGCAATGAAACTCAACATTATTTCCGGGCCTTTCTGAACAAAGTCACTTATTCTTTACTAGAGTGCATCCTAGGAGCTGGGTTTGCTTCCTGTAGTAGATGGAAATTATCCAACTGTAATCAATCTACCGCTCAAACAGCCCCACCACCCAAGAGTGAATCTAATACTACCTTCATTGAACATGGATTATTTAATAGCCTTTAAAAATCACATCATTCTCTAGGTCTCCTCTTCCTCCCTTGCCCCATTAAAAAAGTCCATGAATACAACCAAACAGAATGGACACAAGGAGTCTGTTAGAGTCTTCTAAATACCAACATTCTTGGGTTTAATATAAAGTAGTCACGTACCCTGAGGAATGCATCCAAAGAGCCATTCTCCATGTACTCTGTTATGATCATTACTGGTTTACCTAGAGTTTTCAGAAAGAAAAACACAAACCCTTGATGAGCACTGCAGTTAATGAGATAAAAATGGGCTGTGCACAATTTTACTGCCAAGACACCTGTCTTGTGTGATCTAATTTAATTAAAACAAGCCAAGCTTATGCCTCAGCTGTGGGGAGCTAGGAATGAAATATTAAAAGGATGGGTAGGTTTAAATTCCATCTGGAAGTTAACCCTTTGGGTGGCTTGTTGACAAGGTCTTTAACTAAAGTGGCCTCTGGTATCCAGGGAGCACACGAACGGATAATTGCTCTCTCAAGCAAAAGGGGAAGAAGATAAATGGGCAGGTCTGTGTAAAGGCGAAAAAAATCTTTAGGATAATTAATTTATTTTGTCCCCAGAAGAGCCACTTGTGTGATGCTAAAGCAATCAATGGATAGAGAAACTTTTTTACTGATTTAGAGAAACCCAAGTTTCTGGAAGCAGTAACCACACTGAATACTTCATCACTCAAACACATCTCAAAGCTTGAGCATGCACAATATTAACCTCCCCCTCCCCACCTGCCTTGCTAGGGTCAGGATCTGTATCCTTTCCTTTCCTTTTTATAATAATAATAAAAAAAAAAACCTTAATTCTATTTGCTCCCTTAAAACGACAACCTCAGCAACAACAAACCATAAAAATCAGAGAAAAGGTTCGGTAAATTATTTCACCTGAGACAGCAAGTTAATTCAGTACTAGAACATTCTTGCTCCCCCTCACCACCTGTTCCCCCCACTCCCACAAAGAGAACAAAATTATTATAAGGTTTGGGAGAAGTGGGGGGAAATAATTCTCTCATTTCACTTTGGTTTTCTTTCTGAGGAACTTAGGAAATAACCATTCTTTAGTTTCTTAATTGCTATGGGCTCAAGGTCTGAAATTCCTTCTTTCTACATGGTACTTGTGGGAGGGGTAGGGAAGGGAGCGTAAATCCTCCATATTTTACTGAAGGATAGATAAAAGCAAAGAGAACATAAAAGATTTCCTGGGAGGAAAATAAAATGCTAGTTTGATAAATCAAAAATATTCACTTTCATTGCTGTACTTGGGAATGTTCGGACTCAGACATTCAGTCAGGGAAAATGGACTAGGATATGTCACTGCTGAAAAGTTCCTGTAATTACTCTAAACCAATATCTTTCCCACCCAGAAAAGACTCTGTTCTGATGTGGGGACAGGGGGAAATGTCTTCATCTCAGAGGGAAAAATTAGGAAGAGCAGTTTTCAAAGCTGTCCAAGTTACCATTTTTTTCCCACTATGTGTTTGGTGTCCTGTCTAAGAAAGCATTCCAAGGTAAAACTTTGGAAACAATACCATGGAGACTTTCTTTACAGTGATGAACAAAAAGCTGGCAGAAAAACTGAAAAGTGTGGTGTAGATCAAAGGCCGAAGAAAAACCATTTCCCGTCTCTCCTCTTGGCCGGAAGGAGTGGTCTCTCTACACCCTCAATATAGTACAATACATAGGAAGCTCTTAGTTTCAGACTCCTTTACCCTCTACATCTGTGGCCACAGACAGACCAAATGCATCTGAAGGACTTTTAATGAACCCACATCAATCAAAAGATACTTTGTCAATTAATGAGAAAGGTTGACTCTCTTGCATTAACACCTACTCCAATTTCACCAGATCCCTCTGGAGGTGTGGATAAGAGAGTAGAAGATCCAAAAGATGGCGGGGGGGCAGGGGACGGGAGAGAATTTATAGTCTCCCCGACAATTTAAAAAGTTACTCAAGTAACTGCTGGTAATGAATTCACACACTTCCACACCACCTCTGCACCCTCACACCTCCCTCCTCTGACGGTTGGCACCATCTTTACAATTTCTCTGCATTCCTTGTTCTATTTATTCAAAGTATCCATTTGTCAGAATCTTTATGAGCTCTCCAAGAGAAATAGAGATGAAGGTCTCCATAAGCAGAGGGTCTTAAAAAATGGGTCTCAGCTGGGCTCACGGATGGACAGGATTCCTCCCCTACAACAGGCAGGGGTGCAGTGAGGGCAGGCCAGCGTCAGGGGAGGGGGACAATGCCTCTGGTGGCAATTTTAAATCATTTTAATTCAGTGACAACTGCATTATGCAAATGCATACAGTCGTTTATAACAGTTACAGCTGTAATAGCTACGGGTTTTAGAGGCGCGGTGGGACTTTAATACAAAGATCCCCTGTTTCTTCTCTCTTCTGCAGAGGTGCTATGAAAATCACTGTCTGCAGCAGGAAAAACACCCCAAGCTGAACAGAGCCTCCTTTTGAGAAAATGGACCTGCAGAAGTATTTAAACAGAATGTTATCTTTCAATTAAAGTAGTAAAGGGCTCTGGGCAGCCCTGACGGCCACGGGCAACAGAAAAATATCCTGTCTGTAAAACTAATCTTAAAAAGCAAATAGAGCTATTCTATGCTAATTATAGCCTTCGCCTGAGGTAGAAAATTATATACCCTTAGCACCAAGGTTCCGTTTCTGAAGGACTCTGAAGATGGGGAAAGACGTTCTTCTTAGGACGTAGTAATACCAGTTTAACACCTAGGGAAGATTTCTGTTGTTGTTGTTTAAATTTGCCAAGCATTATGCTAAATACAGGAACTACTTCATCCAAAAAAAACCTGCTGAGGCAAGTTCTATTTTTAATTTTATGGTACAGATGAGGAAACTGACGGTTTGAGCAACCAGTCAAGACCACATGCCCTCTGAGCAGTAGAGCTGCCTGGCACGTCTCTGGTCACCTCTCTGGCCACGGGGGCCAAGGGGACTCTAAGTCTGGTCCTAGGAACCACAGCTTTGGTTTATCTACCCACTCTGCAGAAATGCAAACTCACCACCCCATCCCCACCTGCTCAGTCAAACCTGAGGATGCGGTCCAGGAAGGCATTTTAACACGTTTTCCAGAATTCTAATGTTGGTTCAATGATCTCTGAATAAACATACACTTCATCTCGCTTTTTAGTAACCTCCTTACTTTCTCTTCCTAAAGGTCCCGGACTCTTGTGTTTCACTTCCCTGCTCTGCCCCAGAAGGCATGTCCAATGTTGACTTGTTAACCTCCCCTTTCCTCTCCACTGCACAACTCTCCCCCCGCCGCCGAACCCTTCGCCCACTCTGCACATGCTGACGGAGGATGCTTTTCGTAGGCACCTTGAATCAAGTTGGAGGAACCCTGGCCTTCCTGGAGACATAGCCCTGGGGCTTACAAGATCCTTGACTTGTACTTAGGTAGTAGGTACCGAGGCTCCTGGAACAGAGCCATGTTCAACAACAACGGCTTCGGCTGGACTGTCCGTCCGTGTGGTGCTTTATAAATTGGTCTTAGCCAGCCTTACAGATGTATTCAGGGTCTGCTTCACAAAATGCATCTGTTGAGTTGTGTCGTATTTTAACTGAAGCGTGGTTCACAGGCTTGGGGAATGCTAATGGGCTAAAAAAGGGAAGGTTCATCCAGGTGTTACTGTAAATAGGTGCTGAACAGCAACAGCCATAAATCAGGCAGAGCAGACAAGCAAATCCCCCAATATAATAAAGATTTCCAAGATTCACTCCCTGCATCTGGAGCCGAAGCTTCAAGCACAAGGTATGGCGAGGTTTTGTTGTGGTTTATATGAAAAGTACTTAAATTTTATTTTGCTTACCATCTGCTTGCGCCTACCCTGTGACAATCAGTTTGGTCTAGCGAAGGTTTGAAAGATGGTGAGGCATACCGAAAATCTGCAATATTAATTTCCCTAAAATCTCACACAAGCTGCCTTGGAAATAGGGAATCAGCCTAAACCATAGACCCATTGAGAGCTGACTACAAGATTAATGACTTGTCCTGCACTGATTTCCTCCTATTAGCAATCAGTGGGTCTGCTCCATCTGTCATTTCCCTGGAAAGAAAATGTGTGTTTAATTTGCCAGTAACTTCTAACTTGGCTTTGTAAAGGGAGCGACCCACGTACATTTGGTGACAACGCCTTCCAAGTGAATTATGTTCGGGTGGTCAAACTGTCCCATGATGCTGGCCTCACTCAGGAAGTCTCTCCTCTGTTTGTCTGTATAACCAGCTTTCAGGGTCTTGATGGCGACACAGATCTCTCTCTTGCCAGGCACTTTGAGACGCCCACTGCATACTTCACCAAATTCACCTTTGGGAAAGAAAAAACGAATCAACCATGGACCAGAAACACATTCAAGATGAAAGAGGAATAGCAAACATTTGTTGAGTACTTTTTACATGCTGGGCACTGTGTTCATGTTTTACATAGATCAAAGGAATTTCATGTATACCGATATTTACATAAATACATGGATATACACCATGTTCATACAAATTCGTATAATCCACATATGTATGTTTAATATCTACAACGAAAATAGGCTTATCTGAGAGATACTCAGATACTTACCAACTCCTATGACTTTTTCGATCTTAATGCAGGATGCGTCGATTTCTTTGGCAAATTCTCGAACTGCTTGGTTGGGATCTTCGTATGTAAAGGGATCCACGTAAGTTCTAACACCTAAGCAATAAACATGTGATAGGATGGCTGAACACTTCTCAAAAACCACGAATAAACTTAAGTTGTCCAGGTCTAAAAATACTCAGTATAGAAAAGTGTTCTTAGCATGACAAAAATACTTAGCACAGACATACGAAATATTTAGATTCTTGCTCTGGTTTTCATTAGTGGGTAAACAAAGAATTGTTAGCTACTTAAGAGGCTACGGCTCTACTGACTTCCTGGAATGTCTTCACACTTCAAGGATGAAATCTGAAAAACCACCTATCCCATGGAGGAAAAGAGTCTCTATAAGAAAACTGGGAATGTGTTGGCTGAATACTAGGTGTCCAGATCAGTTGCTCATGTCCTACCTACCCATCATCTCCAGCCATCCTTTCTTGGGAAGGTAACTGGAGCTTTCTTTCTCAACGGGCCATGTCTACGTGGTGCCCCCTTTTGCCCAATATCTGGACCAATTATTAACAAATGAAGATTAAAGCTGGGTTAAAATAGACAAGAGGGATAACACCAGCTAGCTGATAGACAATATAAACTCTGTATTGGACCTGCACTTTTAAAAGTGCTATTAGTAAAGACACCACAGTTCATCTGGAAGCTTCAGCTGGAGAAAATGTTGCTGCCTCATTGTGTGGATGGTCTGAATACCAGGAAGTGTAATTCAGCCAAACCCCACAGTCAACTTGCAGCCTAAATTCAGAATGTGAGCACTGAGCCCAGAGATGTCTGGGGCAAGAAGCATTAGTAATTACTGGGAATTCTCCTTTCCCTGCTAGAGCTCTTAGTACAGCTTTGGGGCACAGAGAGGGTGTAGGGCGCTGGTTGACTTAATAATCCCCTTGATTTTCCAAAAACTGTCAGTCTTGTCCTCATCTCAAAAAAAAAAAAAAAAAAAAAGTCATTAAAAAAATATATATATATCACATGCAAATTTTTAAAAATATGGTTTTGGAAAGAAAACAGGGTGAATAAACAACAGAAGATTCAGATATCCCATATCCTTCAGCACTTTATATGCTGTAGCCAAGAAACTCTTTCTCAAGATGATCCTTCCTACCCGTGGTCTCTCTCTCTTCTACCTTCCTGTGCTGTCCAACAGAGTAGCTATTACCCATAAGTTGCTATTATATGTAAATTAGTTAAAATTAAATAAACTTAAAATTCACTTTCTCATTCACACTTGCTACTTTTCAAATACTTAATGGTGCATGTGGCTCTTGGCTAATGTACTAATGTAATGCAGACAGAAACCACCATCTCAGAAGGTTCTAAAGGTTCTAATGGATGGCACTCCAGGAGGGGCATCAACCGCTTTCCATTTAAGAGTCTTCTCTCTTGCTTAAGTCAGTCTAGGGCCAGTTCTTCAAATTTACTCTTCAATCCCCAAATAACCAGAGTACATGGAAGAAATATTAGTAGTCCTGAATGCCATAGCAAATACTCTTGGGATTGGGACAATTACTGTTCATTCCTCGAAGTTCTTTTCTTTCCCCTCAAACGTGAGAAAAACTGTGACCTGTTAAGCCTTGTCACCCAGCTACAAAAATGAGCCAGCAAGACCAATACTTTTTTCAGGCTGGAAAATAAAATAAGGGAAAACGAGTTTCCCCAACCCCCATCTTTAATCTCACTTGAAACAATCCCAAATCATCGATTTCAGTTGGATACCCTGAAGACCACCATTCAGATAATTTTGTGGAAGGACTGTAATATTAATAGTCATATGAATTTAATTTAGGCATTTCTATAATGAAAATATGAGACATGCTCTAAAAATAATTTTTAATCCAGTTTTTGTACCTTGATTCAAATGTTTCTCTTCATCTGCTTCTTGTTTAGCTTTACTGTATTTACTCCGTCTAATTAAAAATAAAAAAAGTAAAATTATTTTCTAAAGTTGTATACCGTAAGTTCTTTGCTACCACATTGTAAGTCAGGCAAATACACTGTGGACATTTCACAGATGAGTAAGCTGAGGTTTATGGGAAGTAAAATAATAAGGTGAGTTAACTGTCACTTTGGTGCCAAATGATGGTTTCAAGCAATCAGAACCCAGAGTCTCTGCTCTTAACCACGATACTAAACTAAGGTGATAAAACAAATATTTTATAATATAATTTCAAATCTCAAGAATAAATTTATCTTACTAAAGACAGATTTTAAGTTTCCTGGCTAATTTTTCGATACATATTCTGAATTAAAGTAAGTTTCCATGGATGAATTCTACAGAAATCAAATGGCAAGAGTATTCATTGTAACAGTCAGTGCTGTTGTTACAACCAGAATAACCACTACCACAAGTCTCATTATCATATGATATTCTTAAAACAATAGTTTTGTGGTTATTGGTTTCAGCTGTTGCTTACAAATGCATAAATTATTAATGAGAATTTAAAAGGTAAATATTTGCTTTTTACTGGATTACATTCTATAAGAGTTTGCAGAAAACTTGCAAGAGTAAAGATGAGAAGTTTCCATTTGTAGCTGAATTCTCTTTCCAAAGAAATGGTGTATAATCTCACCATTGGCATTCTGTTCTAAATGCCCTGAAGAAATGAGATTTTGGGGGTGGGGAGGGTAGGGAGACAGATGGCTCAGTCAGTTAAGCATTGGACTCTTTCTTGATTTTGGCTTAGGTCATGATCTCAGGGTTGTGATATCAAGCCTGTTTTCAGGTTCCACACTCACTGGGGAGTCTGCTTAAGATTCTCTTTCTGCCTCTCCCTCCGTCCCTCTGCCATCCCCACCCTGGCTTGCACACACCCTCTCTGGAAAAAAAAAAAAAAAAGGAAATGGGATCTGGCTGTAATAAAAGTCTTGAGAATCAGAAATCCTGAATACATGTGAATCTCAAATCAATAATTTTGATACACTGCATATGTATGCATGTATGTATATCTATGTGTATGTGTGTAGATCACAAGAATCAAAAAATCAACTCAGTTGGTACTATAGCTTTTCAAAGTTTGGCAAAATGAGACCATTTAAGTGAATAAAATGTGTACATTTATGTTTCTGCCCAAAATGTAAAGTTGACATTGGAGTTCTTCTTGTGTTTCTTACAGGTAAGGAAGCTGACCCAAGATCCCCTCCAGGCCACAGAGCATCTCAACAGTGGGGTCCCGTCAAATTCTGGAAACCTGAACTCTGTCTGAGCAGAGAAGGGGGGATGATTGTATAGGAGAGAGAACAGCAGAGCAGTGGATGGGCTGCTTGGGGCGACCGGAGAGTAGCCCCAGCATGATCCCCACATCCCTCCAGATTGTCTGCAGAGGTCCCTCCATGGGTATCACGGCCCTGCAAGTAATAACACCTCACGCTTTCACACTGCGTTCAGCTTTCCAAGGTGCTCTGGACACATGACCATGCCCTCCCTGACTATTTACAAAGCAGGAACCAGCTCGGTAAGAGATTCAGTCACTCAGGTTACAGCCAAGTGTGTGGAATGCAGTCCCAAATAACAGTTTGCCTTTTTACTTTGCTTTTAACTTTTAAAAGGGCCATCATTTTTAAATGATTTAATTGATTTAAATGATTTAAAGGGCCACAATATTTAATTATCTTCCCAGCAAGCCCAGGGAAGTAGGCAGGCAGGCAGGCAGACACACACTCAGTTCCACTGTACAGGTGAGGCAGGGCATGGGGGGGGGGACGTGGTTCCCCCACCACCCTCTTAGCAAGGAGAGGAGCGCACCACCTGCCCCGATCTGCTCACAATCTCACATGCCTCTCATAGTACAGATGAACCTACATCACGATCTCTGATGAGAGTTATTATGATGAGAGTTATTATAAGCAATACTACATTTTACGTCAGTAAATCCACTGAAACTGGACCCCACTGCTTTCAGAATCCATGGGTTCATCAAAGAAACGAAACACTTTGAAATGTCCTGAAACCAAACGTCTGCATGAAAGATGTAGTCCCCTCCATCGTTCCCCACCCCTTCCGCCTTTTAAAGGAAATGTAAGAGTGTAAGGTCAGGAACTATGAAAATAAGATTTTATGTCAGGGAAACGCGTGGCTTGGTCCCAGGGGTGTGATAGGGTCCTGCCAGCCTGAGCGATTGTATCTTATCAGAGCTCCTAAAAGCATTATCTAAAATTACAAGTATATCTCTTGAACCACTTTAGATCTCCAATACTGATCTGAACGTCTTTCCTTTAGAGAAGCAAAATGATGCATTGAGCAGGAGGGCTTTGGTGCCAACTTTAAAATACCACCAAGTTTGTCAAAAACCCTGTAATATACCAACAGAAATAACGGCCTCCAGCTGCCCAGGAGGGCAGTTACCGGTTTCCCATCAAGCACATCCATTAAATATGTGTGAAGCCAGAGGAAATGCAAAATGGCAGGGATCATTAATTCTAAGACCCACACGCCCATCCCCTCCTCAGACTTCTAAACACAGAAAAAGGAATTAAACATGAGGTGAAGGTGTATTTCTAAAGGAACTTCTTGACTTGCCATGTTCCTTGGGGGAGAGGATCCTCCGGGAGTACAGAAAATGCTAGAAAAGAAACACAAGGAATCACACTGTTCAAACCCTAACGGTAGCCTATTAGCTTTTTCAGAAGATACTGGAAGCTAAAATGCCTAAGTCTGCCTCTACCTTTGTCACCTGATGACCCTTTCTCCTTGGCTCAGGGAAGGACAATGTGTCCGTTATTGTTCCAAGAAAGCAAGCCCATTGAAGCCGGTCAGCCAGGCTGGAGGGCGCCACAGGGCCAATAGAGGTGCTAACTTTAAATTGACATCCACGGGTGGATCACCTGAATGGCAGAAGGAAACCTTTGTTGAAGATTTTCTAATTACAGGGACTCAGACAAGCTGATTAAGACAGGGTGGGGAGGGGAGTGGTTTGTTAGTGAATGCTCCAGAAGGAAGCCAGGGACCTTTCATCCGCAGGAGTGAAAGGGAAGAGCTTCATCCCGCAGGTGAAGCTGCGAGTTTGGAAGCTGAGCCCTCCCCAGCCCCGGTCAAAGGGGGGACAGAATCAGGGTATTAGCAGGCATTGTGGAGGAACAGCGTGAGCCCCAAGCCTGCCCTCCCAACCAATGTGTCCTTCTGCCACCTTGACTATTCAAAAACACAAACAAAACACCGGAGGGGGAGCGTGGCAGGGGCCCAGTACAAACCCCGCTTTGATTAAAATACTAACTTCCCTTGATCAAGTGGATGGATTTGATTGATGTGGTTCACTGTTCCAAAACTAATTAGTAAAAGGTAAGTAATTTATTCAGCTAAAGTGCAGATTAAAGAAGATAAAGCAATGTAATAACTAGCATGGCTCCAGGAGGACCCTTTCCAGCGTTTAATGGCATCACCCATGAAGATTCATAGAAGCCATCTTTCTTTTCCCCTTCCTTAAGCTGTCATTGTTCTTGCACCGAATGATGTCTAAATGTTCTTCCCGAGCCACATTCTGAAATGGGTAAAATTGAACTGTACAATTGCACGCAAGTTGTTTAGAAATGTTCCCGCAGTACCATCTGCCCCCTAATTGTATGAATTTACATGACTTCATCAGAGCCAATTTAGGCTAACATTTGAGTGTATTCATTCTTATGTGATCATAATATTCCAATTAGGACACCAGGGAAGATGGATACAGACTGAATGGTAACTGTTTTCGCATTACGTGAACGGTTAGCTCCAAAGTAGAAAAGCTTAGCCTTCAGATGAAGACAAAACCAACTCACGAAGTCTGACTTTATAGTGTGCATTACATGGGCACGGTAATTCACAGATTACAAATGCTACCAACGGCACCAAGGAGACTCCTGAAATTTTGGTCCGCTAGTATGGTCAGTATGGGATTCCAACGTAGGTCCTTTTTTTCAGTTCAGAGGACATTAGAATCTTCTGTGCCAGTATTGGAAGTCAGGAAAGATGGGCTCCTGATGGGCTCCTGTCCAAATCAGGCAACTAACCAGTTGTGTAACCTTGGTTTATTCAATGTTTAATCTGCTCTCCAGGTTCCCAGTACAGATGGAGCCAGTGTTGTAATGAGGTAGTTTCCTGAACCAGGGTCTTTTGTGTACTTCTTCACAAATTTTACCACAACAACCTCATTTTTTTGTCTTTAAATCAATTTCACTTCTTTAATTTGAGTAAAATGAGTACAGTATACACTACCATAAAAACAGACATAACCAAAACCCAGTAGCAATCCTCTGCCTGGTTATCAGGCAATACTTGCCTCTCATCACCAAACTGGGCTTTAGAAATGAGTGACTCGTTAATATTCTAGTCCTTTCAAAAGTTTTTCTCATACAACAAAATAGTATTTGGGGAAGACACACTGGCCTCAAGCAACTGGGGATTAATCATATTTGGGACAACCTGACGAAATCACTTAATCACGTACAAAGATGCAGGGGACCAGGGAAATGTGACACATTTGATCATTAGTCCCGGAGGTTATGACCTTATCATTGCATTTTATGATGTCATTGTTAGGAGTCATTTCAAAAATCACTTTAGAAAGCAATAAAGTGGTTACATGGTGGAGACCACCAATAGGTACCTACAGGAGTATGGGGAATGGTGCCATATGCTACACAAGAGAATGTACAGACGTGGTTGGGATGAACTTTCTAGGGACAGCATCACGTAAGTGAAGGGGCACGATGCCTGAATAACCCAATAGCAAGAACAGCGGTGTTCTCGGAAAGCGGACACAATACTTGAATTCCACATCAAGGATGAAGAGTGCGCTGACTGTAGATGCTTGTAAAAAAAGTAAGTGAATTTTCTGGAGCGCCTGGCTGGCTCAGTCGGTTAAGCATCTGCCTTTAGCTCAGGTCATGACCTGAGGGTCCTGGGATGGAGCCCCACATGGAGCTCCCTGCTCAGAGGGGAGTCTGCCTCACCCTCTGCCCCTCCCCCTGCTCTTGTTCTCTCTCTCTCTCTCAAAAAAAAAAAAAAAAAAAAAAAAAAACCTTATAAAAAGAGTAAGTGAATTTGCTTAGCATAATGTGGGTGGTAAAAACATAGCACGGGTCTTAAGTCAACTTACTTTGTGTATCATTTTAAATATATAAATAAGTTCTATAAATGTGGGAGTTGGAGTCTTTCACTGAGATCCCTAAATGTTTACAACACATCCAAGTTGGCCAAATGAAAAAGCGATCTTCTCATTGAAAAAAAGGGAGATACCCTGGCTTGCCTAAAGCTCAGGCTTCTCAGTATAAAGAAAATATAATGAAATAAATGAGGCAATTGCTATCCAAAGAAAGAAAGAAAAAAAAAAAAAAAACTAGCAAGATACCAGCTGTGAGCCTGAGGCCGTTTCCTCTTTCCTAAATGACAAATTAGCACCAGACAGATTTTTCTTTGAGGTAATCAGGAGGGTTGAAGATTTTCTCACTGTGTGGGTCCCTGTCCTTTACTTCTGAAAAAAATCTCACACACCATGACCTGGTTGGACTTGGTTGGGGGGGATTCACCTCATAAGGGATCCCCTTGTCTCTAGCATTGACTGTGCCATCAACCTTCTGTGGCTCTAAAGGGCGAGAAGCAGCCTATCATTTTCCGGGCCAGGGTGTTCCATTTGTTACCTTCCCAGGGGGCTGGCAAGATTGCTTGGGGGTGCCATTTACCACCTTTCATTTGTACCCGCACTAAAAGCAGGGACCAGACTTTCGTCCGCACTACATGTCTCCTCTCTCTTCACCTGTTCTCGTCACACTGAAACATCAGTAGTCCAGTGTGACAGAGCACACCGCCTGCATACGGAGAAGAATCAGCTGAGTGTGCATCAGCCGTGGCAGAGCCCGTCAGCTACCTGGCTCCAGGCGGCCTTTCCCGTGACAGCTTTATGGCCGACACTAAAGAAGAATCAATAGGAGGGCAAGGGGTTGACATTTCATTTTCTAAAAAGTGATCCATTGAGGACCAATCACCAAGCAGTGTTTATCAGCCTTGGGAAGTGACATTTTTTTCTTAAGAGGTGGGGAGAAGGGACAAGAATCATCGCTGGGTAACTCGACAGGCTCAATTCTCTAGGGCGTGGACTCATAACTGGAAATCCGATGTATCCTCCTATCAGTCCTAACTTAAAGAATAAAGTGATCAATAAAAGCAGAAACAAAATTAAGTCATCAAGTGTGTGATTCTATTTCCTATAGCTACAAGCTTTTAATAAGCTCGTCTTCCTGCATTACACATTCTTGTGCTTTTGCTTTCATTTCGTCAAAGTGGGGCATCCAAAAGAAACTTATAATGAGGTGACTTAGTCCTAATTATTCTGGTTTCACTGGTATATTTAAGGTGGCTTGGGAAAAAGAAAGGTAACTCTAAAGAAAAGCTGGACAAGTAGACAAAGCTTCCCTTCAACAGCAAAGAAGAGGTTGAGATACCACATGAGACCCCCTTTCTGCAAAGGAGTGTTCTCTCCAATGGTTCTAAGCATCACGTGGTGCTGGATTTTAGCCAAAGATTATTTCGACGTGGAGGTAATTAAGAAGTTTTTTTTTTCTTCTTCTAGTTTTAGACTTTTAAACGTCTTTCTGATTATATTTTATTGATTAAATTTTCAGGCGCAGAAATATATAATAATGAAAACATAAAGCCCATGTAATTTCCACTAAGTCTTCCATCCCACTCTAGCCCCCCACTATCAGATGGACATGTTTTATCGCGTCCCGCTCCCGTGTTTGTGTGCCCAACATGTGTACGTACCCAAAACCAAAAGGCAATGGACAAGAAAGAGGTCCATCCTGACTGGCTTCCAAAATCAAATGCCAGAAAAGGAAAGAAAACTTGACATTGAAATTCTGTTTAGGCCAAATCAGAGTTTCCAAAGACCGAGCTTTAATAATATATAGGGTGCAGTGGGCATGTCTACGTAGACTCTGTGTACAGTCCAGCAACAGGGAGAAGTGTTCACTGTGGATTTCAGTTCTTCAGGATGAACTCAGGGCTCTAATCAAACACACAGTGACAGCCTTTGCCCCAAAAAGAACAAACACAATGACAAATGTAGGTGGTGCCTGCACACAATGACCTCTTGGTGCATACTGTGTAGAGAGCGACCGAGATTGATTTCTGTAATTCCAGCACATTTTGGAGCATGGGAGTGGGGAAGCATGATATTAATAGATACATGTGACAACTGAGACCATCCCGGCAAATTAGGATATACAGTCATGACCCTAATTATAATGTACCACAAAGTGAGCAAAGAGTGTGATGGCTTGCTCAGACCAGTGGCAAGAGCCAGAGGCATTGTTGTGACATCAATGAGATCACCAACAGGAGGGGCAGAGAGAGGACACAGCAGACACTGGGCAGGGAGCGGATCATGGCTACTGGGTGTCCAGTAGTAGCTCTCCCACGGAGGGAAAGTAATAATTCTAGACAAGTACTTTGTCTTCTTCAGTATCATGTTCCTTTTCTGTAATGGGAAAAGGTTTATACTGAAGAGGATTATTTTGATGTCCCCAGGTTCTGCCCTTCTTTTGCCAGAAGCCCCACCCTGTGAAACAGTTGATAGCATAGGGGACTGAAGGTTGGAGAAGCCTAGATGTGGGCACATACTAGAGATGAGAGGCTGTCCCCCCTCACCCCCTTCCTCTGGAGCCTCTGAGTAGTGTTAATAAGCAGATGGGAGCAACAACAGTAGGAAAAGTGGTTCAAAAAAACAGACTGCCAAGCCTTTTTTTTTTTTTATTTTCTAGATTGGTTTTCAAGTATCACATTAGATTGTAGACTTACACAGAATTAAGTAATCTTTTTTAGATTCATTTCCAAGAACAATGCCATGCCTACAGCGTGCTTAATGGAAACTCTCTAGAAATGGTGATGGCCTCTCCCAAAAGAAGACTGAGTGTAGCACCCAATCATTTGCTTTGGTTGCAACTCAAGTTGAAGCGCCTACTGTGTACTGGATTAGCTACTTTACCTATCAGAATTCTTCTATCAGTAACTCTTAGAGATAGATCTCTGAGATTCTCTATCTGTACTTTATAAATGGGGAACAAAAGGACTCAAAGAGTTTAAGTAATATAGCAAAAGGCAAAGCTTAAATTTTGGACCCAAGTTTTATATGGCTTCTTTTTTGCCTCCGGCAGCAGTAAGTCTAAGCTTAAGAGAGGTATAAATGTAACACCTTACAGCTTAGAGAATCTGGAAATCTCTCATTGGCTTGCTTCTCGGCTGGGTTTCCAGGAAATAGCTGGGTCTTTCCAGGACTCTCAGCTGTGAGGGCTGTCACCAGGGCAGGCGCAGCCAGCAGCTCCAATAGTGGTATGGGGAGATCAAAGCCAAGAGGAAGGATCTGGCTATACACATGCCCTGTTTATGATGCTAATCAAAAGTCTCAGCTTTGAGGGGAGGAGACAAAAAGCCCCCTCATAAAAAGTGGGATGGGGTGGGGGTGGGGGTGGGGGTGGGGGTGGGCAGCGAGTGGCTTAAGTGCTTACCTCCTGCTGATGACAAAAGCCGCAATGAGAATGACCACCAGCACCACACTGCCTGAGACCGAGACCAGAAGGACAGTGGAGTTGGCCCCATCTCCAATGATCCGGGAAGGCACTGGCAAAGACAGTTACACAAGGATCACCTCTGGGAAGGTCCTATGAGCTAGAACTTCTGACTGGGTCACGAGTATCAAGGACGGAAGCCACTGGGAAGGCTCACAGTTTTTTTTGCCCTTTGATAAGTATTTATGCGACAGCATTTCTAAGACAGCCTTAATGAGATGAAGACTTTTCTTTTATGTATTTGTAGGAAGAACTTCAACCAGAAGACTCTTAAAAAATCCTCTGGTAAATCTTACTACTCATTGTTTTTCTTCTTTTCTGGTTTCAGCCCTAACTCTTATTTAATGAAAGACACTTGGAAATTTCAAAAAGGACAAGCAGTTTTGAATCCCTGCCCATCCCCGTCTCCAAATCTATCAAAAAACCTGCTCATTATTGACCAGATCAGATGCCACTTCCTCCTTGAAGCCTTCCAGGAATATCGCTCAAAAATGTCAAACCCCATCAGATTCAATCCTAGAGTAGTTTCTCTTCTTTTTTACTCTTACTTTATTTAATAATTCATGAAGAAAATTACTTTCTAGAACTGATGTTGAAGATTCTTCTCTATGATCTCTTATCCAGTAAGCTCAATCTCGATTTGTGAATTATATAGCCAGCTTATTCAATGGGCATCTCCTTTGTTAATATTTTCAAGTCAATCAATGAGTCCAACTCACAATGCTGAGAGTTGATGTTTGTCCAAAGGGTTTAAAAAAAAAAAACACGGATCTGACTTGATTTAAACAGATTCTTAGAAATAAATAAAAGAAAATAAATCCAGTCCCTTCTTTACTCTTCCTAGGAGAAAACTTCCTAGCTTCTTTAAGATAGCTATGCAACTCTCAATTCGTCCACTTAGCACTTCCATTTTTCTATGATCAATAGAAGATTCAAAATAAGAAAAAGAAGAAAACATTCTCTAATCACATGAAAAGACAGAATAGTTAATATGAAAAAATGCTCTTTTCTAAAAAGCATGAGCTGGGGAGCCTGGGTGGCTCAGTCGTTAAGCGTCTGCCTTCGGCTCAGGTCATGATCCCAGATTCCTGGGATCCAGCCCCACAATGGGATTCCTGCTCAGCCTCCCTGCTAAGCAGGGAAGCCTGCTTCTCTCTCTCTCCCACTCCCCTGCTTGTGTTCCCTCTCTCGCTGTGTCTCTCTGTCAAATAAATAAAATCTTTTAATTAACTAATTAATTAAAGAGCATGAGCTTTTCTAAGTTACAGACATCGTCATCTCAAACAGTGTTCATTGCCAACAGAATGTTCGCCTAACCAGAAATTAGGTACAGTTCCTTGGATCTCACTGTAATATGGTTTCACCTGGACTGTAAAAAGGGCCTCAGAAGTTGGTACCTGTGTTGGTTGTGACCTCCAGGGGCTCACTGAAGTCACCATAACCAGCTGCTGTCCTGGCTCGGACATGGAACACATAGGAAGTCAGAGGATTCAGGCCTTTGATGTCTGTGTTCCTGGCAGCTGTCCGGACGATGCGGTAGCTCCGCTCATTCTGATCCTGCATCGTGGGGCAATAACATTAGAGAAGGTGGGAAAATAAATCCCCCACTTACTCTAGGCACATAATTGAAGGAACCAAGCCAGTGTACTTAGAAGTTGAAAGTAAGGGGTGTCTGGGTGGCTCAGTCAGTTAAGTGTCTGACTTCAGCCCAGGTCGTGGTCCTGAGGTCCTGCGATCGAGCCCCATGTCAGACTCTGTGGGGAGTCTGTTTCTTCTTCTGTCCCTCACCCCACTTCTGCTCTCTCCCCCAAATAAATAAATAAAATATTTAAAAAGTTGAAAGTAAACAGAGATGAATAAACTCTAAACCTCCTGTTTGCTTCAATGTTGGAAGTACCATTGTAAGATCTCGGACTCTGAAGGACATGTGGGGTTTGGGTGTGATCACTGTTGACACTGACCATATGCAGATCTTTACTTATGATCTTTTTTAAAAAGGAAATCAGATGATGGTTGGTGGCTTTTCTCAGTCCACAGACAGCAATTTAACAGAAATAACCATAAGAAGGTCTCTCATCTTTTTCTATTTTCTGTCTAGAAAATGTCAAAAATGTTGTAATCTGGTTTCAGTGAAAAAATAAATCCTGTCCCCTTTCTGCTTTTAATAAGGAAGCCAATAAGTGATTATCTTTAAAAAGAAAGAGAAGTCAATTGTTCATTTTCCAGACAATCTTGAATGCAAATAGCTCTCTTCAGAATTCTGTCCTTTAAGGGAGACAAGTTATTTGTAAAAATAATGTCTTTCTATAACTTTAAGAGGCTGAAAATGTAATTTTCCTTCCCTGATTTTCTATTAAAAGTCATCAAAACCCACACCTTGATTCTGAATAGCAGTGATCTACTTAAACAGATCATTATTTCGACTTTTATGAGTCACTCTCACTGATAGAAGGCTTATATATAAGAACCGCTTAGTTATCTTGATTTCCATTACTAGAAAGAAAAAATGGTTATATTAGAACACAATGTATTTTTCCTATTTTTCAAGATAACCAACTTAATACATAAAATTCATAATTGGATTCGATTGGGGAACAAAATGCATTTGGTTTTGAGATTCACTAGCATTTTGGATTTTTAACTGGCTAAAATCTCAAGACAAAAAGGAAGGAAAGAGGGAAGGAGGGAAGGAAGGAGGGATGGAAGGAAGGAAGAGAGGAAGGGAGGGAGTGGGGGACGGACGGTCAGGAGAAGAGAAGGAAGGAAGCTTGCTCATTCAAGTAATACCTTCTCATAATACTTGACTTCATACTCCAAGATCACCCCATTGGGCCTATCTGGTTCCAGCCAAGCCAGAGCAACACTGTATCTTGTAACTTCTTTCGCCTGGACCAAAGCAATGGATGAAGGTGCTATTGGGAAAAACAAAAACAAAAGGGGAAGCAATCAATAATTTCATTTTACTTAAGAAAGGTGTAAGGACTGTCTTGTCTTTCCCAGATCCGTGTGTCAGTCTTCCCCAGGACAAAAGCATACCATTTTTATGGTTCCTTCCAATATGTTGGTATATGGTTGGTCTTAGAAAGATATTCTCTGAGGTAAAAGCCTACAGCATCACCTCCACAGAACCTGCAGCCATTCTTCACGAAATCTATAGAGAGCGCTACCTCCTTCTTTATTTTTTGCAAGTCGTGACATCCACTGGAAGACCTCCTTTTAAGTTCAGTAAAACTGCATCTCTTCCTACATCCAAAGTTTCCAAGTGGTCATCTTACTGATCGTTAATTTTATACAAGCAGGAGAATCTGCCACTCTTCCCAGGGGACTGTAAGAAATGCAAACAATTTCTATCCTTTCCAATATAAATACAAGTACTGTTTAATTGTGGCTAAGTTTCCAGTTTGACGCAGTGATGCAAATAATGAAGAGCACAAATAGAACAATGATGATCTTTCTGGACATGCATGACATTTTGAAGCTATTTTTATAGAAGCTGAAATATTGCTTTTGCCGGCTGAGTAGCAAACTTTCTTCTTCCCACTAAGAAAGACGCAAAAGCAGCCCTCTATTGGCTGTGTTCGCAGGGGTCCTTGAGATTTATAAAACCAGGCTGCCCTTGTCTTCACTGTGATAGTCACGTCTCCCACTGTTGTCAAGCTCTGCTGGGACTGACAGTGACACAAATGTGCCATCTCTGGGGAGAAGAGGAGCATTCATGAAACCCGTCAACTTACCTAACAAAGCTGGTCTGTAGAACCAGAGATTAGGGGCCTCCCTCAACTGAATGTACAATCCTGTTTGCTACCAAATTGTGGAAATATGTGAAACCATCACAAAATGGCCACTGAGGAACAACAACATAGTGTCGGGTCATCCTCCTGCTCTTTCCCAACGTACACACACACACACACACACGCGCGTGCGCGCATGCACACAGACCCCCTGCCCTATTTCCCTCTCCCACTCTTTTCCCCCCAAAGCTATTCCAGACTGAACCTCAGGCATAAACACCAGTGAAAGGCACAGTGGATACACATGTCCTCCATCAAAGGCAACCCCAAGGTTAGTAACGCCAAACTGGGGTGAACAGAGCTGCACACAACAGACATATGGAAGCCACTGAACATCTGAAGAAAATGAAAAACGGAAATGTGCTCATTAGCTGCATTTAGGCTTCCCTCCCCCAACACACACACACACAAACGCGCGCACACACACATTTTCTCTCTCTCTTTCCTTACTGGTTGACATGGAACCATTGTCCAGCAAACTGCAAGGAGGAACTCTCAAATACAGAGACGGCAAGAAGGCTAAGAAGGCTGCCTGGCTGTGAAAAGCTGTTTCACGCCAGGTAATAATATATTGTCTAACAGAGCACTTCAGGATACACTCCATAAAAAGGGGCTCTTTAAACTGACGTTCAGGATTAGGAAGTGAAATAGAAAAGCCAGGGTTTTCAAAAGAAAGCGGCAGAGGAAGGGGGGATCATAAAGTTATACAGTGACTTTCTCTCAGAAATGGTCTGGGTCAGATCCTGATAATGAACAGATTCTTCGGGAAAGAACTGTCTGGCTGCCCTTGGGGTGCACTGCTTGACTAAGCTGGTTTCTCTCTGACTGGGTTATCCCTAATCTGCTGCACGTGGGCAATGAACCTGATTTCCATTTTAGAAGCTGGAGCAGCGGTGCTCCTGTGACCATTCAAGGGGGATATGAACTCAACTGAACTCCTCACAATACCGCGGGCTGGGCGTCCCCCATATAATTGCGCAGACTATTTCTAACACAGTCGTACTTGGAAAAATCCATATGCACAAACGTGTAAAATAAACCAACCGTGTGTGCTCTGACTCGGCCTAAGGAGATGAGATGAAAGAGTAAAGTAGAACAGTTCCAGTTCCCGAAAGGTATTACGCTGTGTGGCTGTCATGTCTGAATTCTTACTGGACAGAGGTCTTTCAGAAAATCATTTTTATCAGGCCACAGTGAAAAAAGCAATCCATGACCAAGTGAGATGAAGAAATACACCTACTACAACATGCAACTGCTCTATAGTCAAACATGGCGGCCATTCCTCCCCCTGAAGAGAGCGTCTTACCCTCTCTGGTACAAAGAACACCAGCTTGGAAGGAAAAATACTGGGCTTTACAGGGCTGCCACTCTGAAGGGAAGAGCCAGTCTGGATGTGTGCTTCACATTATAAGCCACACAGGGGTTCTTCCCTCGACCTTCCCACCTGCTTCTAACCAAGTCTCCATCTCCACAACTGGAAGCTGTCACCCTGCCATGTGTGCCCAGCCGTGGCTTGCTTCCCCAGATGAGCCACTTTGCAATGGCATTTCTCGATCATTCTCCTACCCCAATGGTTCCCAAGCTTGTCTTCTCATGCCATTCATGTAATTGCTGCCACATCCTTCCACAACTTGTGCTATGATTTCATTAATGGTGCTCTTGAATCCACACGCTACACTAACTCGAATTATAGTTAAGAAGAAACTTCCTATTACTGATATAAATAAAACCCTTTTAATAGCAGGTAACCCTAAAAATGAGTATGTGAGTAAACAATACTATGAGTGTTTGCTGGATATTCTTGCCTCTCCCTGCATTACCCAAAATAGGATAATCCAGGCACCAACTTGAGATCCTAGTCTTGGAATAATGGGAAGAACTGAGTTGAAAAGAAACTTAATTTTCACACAGGGCAATTCAGCATTACAGGACTTCCATATGGGTCTTCACTAAAATCGTCTCTGAGGCCACCACTGTTAGGTTTTCTACATTTTGGTAAATACTGACAAGCCTTTCTCAATTTAGAAATGTTTTGGATCCTGGGTCCCAACACCCTAGGGCTCTGCTCTTTGCTAACAAAATTATAAGATAATAGACTGATAGAATAACAGATTGAACACTCTTGCCCTTAAAATATGGTTCAAAAGGAGCTATGAAATATCAATGCCTTACTTCAAAAGAGGGCTTCTCACCACAGTGGAAATTTTAGTCAACATAAAAAGACCAAGCAGAAAAAAATGTGCTGCTTGTCTCTCAGTTCTCTAACTTACATTCCGAAACCTGTGGAGATGTAGTTTTTCCTCAGGACTGACTCATCCACTAAGCACATTCTTAATGAGCACCAGTGGAATAAGGCAGAGATGGAAAAGCACAGACAAAGCTGAATCACATACAGTCTTTGGTATCAAAGGAAGCCTCATCTGATCTTTCAGCCACTTCTGAATTAACAACAAAATAGATGAGGAAATTTTTATAATAGTCTTACAGAGAAGACACCCATTTTCTAGAACTCAAGAGGCGGTAGTTCCTGCTAAGTCTCTTCTTAACCACATTTTCTCGTGGTGATGGGAAGAAGAATGGGGTGGCTGCTTCCTTATTATATTGTGTTTTTAGACGTGCAATACACCTACAAGAGTCAGAGGGGAAGCCAGGAGGAAGATGAAGGCTGATGTAAGGAGCTTCACTACAAGAAAGAGACACAGATTGGAAACATTCCTACCTACCCACAGACTTCCTTCATAAAGGAGGTGTTTGCTTTGAGGAAAGTTTTGTGCCCCTGGACATAAGCAGGCATTCTTTGATGGCCAGAATTTTAGCATAACACTCAACAAGGAGGGCTAGTCATGCTAGCCTGATAGTAGTATGGTTGCGAAAGATGACTGAGGGATGTAAAGATCACAAAGACAGGAGCTATCATAGGGTAGTTTTAAAGAAAGGTCTGTGACGTAATTTAATCAAGTCCGTAATTTTCAAATGTTAGAAGCAATATTTCCAATGATTGACAGATGTCCATTTTCCTGTCCCGAGATGTTGTTATCTGAGACCACATCCTATGACTCTCAAGGGTATTTGAGTAATTTTAGTCCAAACCACATTCTTGACTTCCTTTTCTTTTTGCTTATAAATCACATTGACGTTCCAGTTCAATCATTCAACAAATGCCCTTTAAGTCTCTGCTCCAGGAACTTAAAATCCAAAGTAGAGCTAAAGAGGCATTTATATTTAAACAGTTAAACAGTATTTGGCTAAGTAAAGATAGTGGCTGAGATAAGAAGCCAGAATAGGGAAGAGGGCATTGTAAATTGCATAAAGAACCATGGAAGGATTTGGAGTAAGGTTATGAAGGTAGGTCAAGATTTGCAGTGGCTAACAGGAGGCAGAAAGGTTAAAGATGGCTGAACGGAGGTGCACCTGCTCCAAGTATGACTGGGATTTTCTTGAAATAATTTCTTGAAATTACTTAGTACTCTAATTCTGTGATCATCGAGGGCTCACCTAGGACAAGTGAAATGAGATAAAGATGAAAATATCTTTGACTCATATACTTAAAAGTATTCTTCACTTCACTAATTTGGTGGGAAGATCGAGGACTATTAGAAGGATTCTGGGTGTCATTCTGGGTTTGAAATTTACCAGTTGCTATCTTGGCCAAGTCACTCAAATTTTCTTGCCCCCGCTCTCCCATTTGTAAAACACCTTCCTTCCAGATACAAGCGTGTGAGCCATTAGAACGTATGCTCCATAAAGGTAGGGCTTTCCCTTGTCCATATCGATATCCAAACTATTCAATCATGTCTGGCACATAGTGAGTGCTCAATAAATTTGTCAAACCAATAACTAAATGTTAAAATAGACTTGAAAAAATCTTTGTAGACAGTGAGATGTTTTCTAAATATGCAGTACCAGAAATAAGTCATCCCTAAAACAACGTTTCATCTGCACCTGTTTCAGATGACCTTCTGTGGGTCTGGTTTTGCTATTTAGGTTAACTAAAATAATTGACAATTAGGAGTAAAGCAAATGACAATTCTAATTATAAATGGAGTCTCTGTTTTCTACGAGATATGAGAGGCTTCTGAGCCCCCCCACCCCCGCAAACATACAGGTTGTAAAATGTCATT